GTATTTAAGGCAAGTGGCTTCATCTTAAGAGTCTGCATGGACTCACTGCCTCTCATGGAGGCAAGGTCCTGCTTGTCAGGCACTTCTGGCAGGACCAGGGCTCTTGGTCTCACCGATGCAGGGTGGCAGGTTGCTTGTATCCAGGCAAGCTCAAGAGTCCAGGGAGGCAGCCTGCCTCGCTGGGCTGAGGGCTGCTGCTCTGCTGGGAGGGACTGATGAGCCATGTCTTGCTACTGTGGCATGGCACGCTTGTTGGTATTTTGAATGCATCTTTGGGTAAGTATTTAAAGTGCTTGTGCAATACAGCGGTCAGTATAGCAGTACTTGTTCCCTTCTCTATGAGCACGGCTTCCATTTGCTCCTTTTCGCTTACCTAGCATCCTTTCTCATCATCTTCTAGAAGGTGGCAAGGGTCATTCTGACCTACTAAGTCCGTTTGTAGCTTATGGCAGAAACCATGTGGATTAATAGATCTAAATTGTCATTTTTACCATTGGACTCAAGCTGTTAGAATTCCCTCCTAATATTTTTAGTATACTTAGTTTCACCACAACCAGCGAGATTTCCCCTCCTCCCCTCTTCAAAAGCAAGTCTTGTCTTAGCCAGGGGGATGGAGGGCAAGAAAACTCCACATTATATTATTCAAATTCATTTTTAAAGTATCAAGGCTTTTCTGCCTTTGATAAGTGATTTTTTGAAATACCTAGGAATATAGAAAACCTGTTCCTAGGCAATGAAAAATAATTCCTTCTTTTATTGTACTTTCTAAAGGAATTTTGCCTGGTATGGAGAGTGCTTAAAATTAACTATTAAAGACTGTATTTTGGAAAAATATAAAACTCTGTTTTATCCAAATAAGTTTAAAAAAAAGAAGAGAGAAAACAAAACAAAAAATCAAAACTTTGCAGATGCCCAGTGGGCTAGATACTTATTTTTTTCTTCTACAAAGATTTTGTTAGAACTCCTGCATTTTCCAGAATTTCTGTACAGTCTTTTAAATTGAAATGTCTTGACTTTGCATTTTTCCATAAGCTATCAAAGGTGGCTTTCTAGCTTTAAGCCAAATTCTTTGGCACGTGTGAGAGATGCAGTAACTTCTTAATTTGTTTTGTGCAAATTATGTTTTGTAATCTTACAGATTTTTTTCTTACATGTACAATATATGGAAACATAGAGAGCCCTATTTTATATTTTTTTAAATGTAACTGTTACTTTTGGAGCTGTAACTTTCTTAGAGTCTTTGATGTGAAGGAACTGGTGTGCCAGTGTAACTTAGAGTATTGATAAATCCTTGTGTAATGCAGCAAGGCGTAAAAAACTTTCTTGAATTCTGAAGTTAAAGGGAGAAATACATCCATATTTAACTAACAAAACCCACTTCTTCAAAGAGAGAAACAGATCCTTAAAATATCCTGCTAATATGAGGTAATTCCCTTCCCTTTACTGAACTTGCTAATTAGTTTTTAGTCCATCTCCCCTAATGTTGCTCACGAGCTTGGAGCTGTGATACAGAAGTGTTCAGTACAGGCAGAACTGGTGATGGGCACTAAACCATTTGATCTTCCCTAGTTTTTGCTTTCTTTTGAGACAGCAGATGGAGAGTAGTCACCACCATGCAACTTGAGACAGACTCTGAAATGAGACTTTACTGAAGTTTAAAAAAAAAAAGCAAGCAGCTTAATCTCAGATGCAGCTCTTTAAATATTTATGTATTAATACAAATCTGCTTGAAAAGCAAGTTGTGGTCCCTGTAATTATTTCGTCCTGAGGCAGCAGATCCAAGTTGCTCTGTGGGCATAAGGATATAGTGTATTGTGACAATGAGGGTATTTTCCTGTTTTATAATGAAACTGATTCTGTTTTGGGTGATATTAAGAGTTTTCCCCCCCACCCGCCTCTTTTCTTGCAGGAGGAAAACTGTGGTCTTATGTCAGTAAGTTCTTAAACAGAAGTCCTGAGGAGAGCTTTGAAATTCCTGAACCCAGAACATCCAGTTCAACTAAAATTTACCTGGAGCAGCCAACGCCTAGTCCTAAAGAAATCGGTAGCAGCACTGATTCCAGAGAAAGCTATGGGGAGAGCACGCTGAAGGTGGTTCCACTGAAGAGCAGCCTAACACCGAGCTCTCAGGATGACAGCAGCAACCAGGAAGATGGCCAAGAGAGTTCGAAGTGGATGGACTCGGGATCCAGCTCGGAAGAAGAGTGCACTACTAGTTATTTAACTTTATGCAATGAATATGGGCAAGAAAAAATTGATTCTGGCTCTCTAAATGAGGAACCAGTGGTTAAACTGGAGAGCGAAGGTCTAAATACCAAAGAGGGAAGTTGCTTGCAGAAATGCAGTGTCATTGGCAGTGATGGCTTCACCTCTCAGATTGCATCTCAGGAACGAAAGCTTTTCATTGACGATGCTGAGTCGGAAATAGCTAGCCCTACTAGGATATTGGACTCATTAACTAAATCAAAGAACAGCCCCATGGAACTCTTCAGGATAGACAGCAAAGATAGCACTAGTGAGCTCCTGGGGCTTGATTTTGGAGAAAAATTATATAATCTGAAATCAGAGCCTTTGAAGCCATTGTTTTCTGTCCCAGATCAGGACAGAAGCTTGGATGCCCTAGAGAGCAAAATGGGTGTGAGAGCTCATGACACCATAAGCAGGGGTTCAAATGACTCTGTGCCAGTTATCTCCTTTAAGGATGCTGCTTTTGATGATGTAAATAGCATCGATGAAGGAAGGCCTGATCTCCTAATAAACTTACCTGGTATGTCAGATGAAACAGAAGAGGCAGCAGTGTCAAGGACAACAAAGTTTACAAAAACTGATAGGGACATGTTGGAAGTAAAGTTATTAGAAACACCTGATGTCTTACAATTAAATAATTCTGCAGAGCCATGTAAAGCATTTGATCAAGAGCCAAATCTTGTGGCACCAGAAGTGGGTGATCCTTCCCGCAAGGAAGCAAATGGACAAAGCGGTGTCACTCAGGGAGCTCTTGGGACCCTCTTTACATCTGACCAAGAGGTAGGTAGTTCAGAAGACGGGGCTCTGTTTCGAGGGCTTGGAGCCTGCTCCTTAAACATGACAAGCAAAGAAGAAAATTTGTTTGTTTCCAACCTGCTCTCAGGTGCTCAAGATGTTAGCTTGGATGGAGACATGTTAAGAAATGAAGCAGTGTTGCTGTTTTCCGATCAAACTGAAGACTTTGGGAAAGAGGAAACAGACGTGGCTTTGTTACCAGCAGCTGAAAGTAAAAAGACAGCACCAAAGAGGGAAGACACAATAGCAGTAGCAGGGGAGAAGGAAATACATAAAATTTTTCAGGACCTCGACGAAAGATTAGCGATAACCTCCAGGTTTTATATCCCAGAGGATTGCATTCAAAGATGGGCAGCTGAAATGGTTGTAGCCCTTGATGCTTTACATAGAGAAGGAATTGTGTGCCGCGATTTGAACCCAAACAACATCTTATTGAATGATAGAGGTCAGGAACTTTTGCAAATGCATTTCTTTTTATTCGCTGTTGCTTCCAATTAACTGAGTAGGCGTTTTATCTTGTAATTAGTATCTTCATTTCCTGTCTAGAGCTTCATTATCAGTGCAGCAAATTCACCCCCAGTAATAGCTTCTAGTACTTAATGATGCCATTATTCTTAATGATACTGTTTTTAGCTACAAAAGGAGTAATTACAGTTCACTTCTGCAGAAAATGGAAGGGAAAAATGTTTTGATTTCTCCTGTCGTTTTGTTTTTAGGACACATTCAGCTAACGTATTTTAGCAGGTGGAGGGAGGTTGAAGATTCCTGTGACAACGATGCCATAGAGAGAATGTACTGTGCCCCAGGTTAGAGCAATCACCTACAATGTTTCACTTGGAAAGTAGATGAGCAGCTTTCATTTCCTCATGGAGCCTCTATAGCGTAGAGCTCGAGATCATGCAATATCTGAATTTTCTTTGCTTTTTCCTGAATGTCTTAAAAAGCTAGAGGGCTCATAACTGCTTTATTCTTGAACTGTGGTGGTGTTTGTTAGATCATTTCCATAAAGTGTAATTGTATTGAATGTCTTGTTTAAGCAAATTTAAGGAATGTTTTGTTTTCTTGCAGTTATTTGCTATGGGTGAGTACATCTTGATAACTGAAAAGAGCAAATAAGGGAAAGGGCAGACTGAAAAGATGACACTAACAGCCTTAAAAATACAAGAATTTATACATGCAAAGAACTGGGGGGAAAAAAACCCATAGCAGTTTGAAAAATATGACCCTAATAGGCTCAGAGATGCCTCTGACATTTTTGATGAGCTACAGTGGGCTTTGAAATAGTTTAGAGAGCTCTTTTCTTAGAACTGCTTTCATCAATCATGAGGGTGATAAAATCAATATCTCTTGGGTTTTTATAGCAAGGATGGCACTTGAAACTGAGCCCTCCCTGTTTTCCTTTTCCCAATTTATTTTCTGCTAATATAGTGGTCAAATGGGAGTGACAGCCAAAAAACAGGTGTTTTACTTACAACTTCGTATTTTAAAAATTTCATAGCTAGCTTAAACTACTTTTAGAGTTGAAATGACTACTGAGAGGCTATTCAGATTTTCAGTTTCTCTTTTTTTTTTTTATTCTGAATTTGAAATGCCAACATACTCTTTCTGCTGAGCACATGGTCTCACTAGGCACTGCAACTTGTCACACAGGTAGTCCTCAAGCTCAGAGTCTGCAAATGTGCTAAGAAAAATATAGAGTAGGAGTTATCAGCAGTGGAAGTTCTGAACTTAGTTTGGCATCAGAGGTGTTTATTCTGTGACTTTGTCCTGCAACTGAAATACAGTAAGGAACTGCTGTCTGTGAATAAACGTCGTAGGATCTCAACAAAAATTTGAATGCCAGCCCCTTGAGATAAATAGTAAATAAAATCTTTTCTATCCAGGTGCAAGTCCAAAGGGCAGGTATTACAGAAAAGAATTCTCTTTACCTATCAAAGCAAACCTGACACCTTTGTTCTACCCTCACCCTACTTTAATTCAAGAACAAGAAAACTGGGGAATCCCAGCAATTCTTGTGGTTGTTAAATAGAAACGTGTCCTGATCGCCAATGTGCATGACGTCCTGTTAGACAGAGGCGTTTTCTTGCCTCCCTAACGCAGCCTCGTACAAGGCGCTCCCCAGTTGAGTAGTAGCAAAGATGGAAGTGCAGCCTTTTCCCACCCTGTCATCATTAATGAGCTGTGAAAGTCAAAGCTTAATTTTTCTGTATTTTAATGAGGATCCAAAGAGAGGCTTTTTTTGCCCCCTAAGCCCCAACCAGCCAACTCGTGCAGTAATTAAGTGTTTAGGGAGCAGTTGAAATAATATTTAGAAGTCCCCAAATGCAAGAATAAAGTTTTCTGCACCATCGTTATTTCCACCTCACAGCACAGGTGTGGTATCCATCCGGGTTTTTCTTGGTTATGTTACCTTCTCCTCTCCGCCCTCTCTGCCCTACCCCAAGCTGCAGTTTGCTTTGTGTGTCTGTAACTGGCGAGCTATAAGATGAAGATTTGCAAATGCAAATACTAGACATGTGCAAGATGGCTGAATTGATACTGCTCTATGATTCTTACCTTTTATATTTCTTGATCTTAATGTTACCTCTGTAAAGTGTACTTTCATTTTAGTGTAGCTATTTTGTGCTAATTTTTACATAGGAGAGTAATACTTGGTGTAACTTAGCAGTTCAAAATCTATTTTGGAGCCAAGTGCCATTCTATTCTAAGCAATGATTTAATACCTGTACCTTCAATAATGGTATATAGCTGAGTCCAAAGCAGCTTTCTTAGGGCTACTGCTGCTGGTAAATCTTGCTCTAGAACTTCTGGTCAGTATTAAAAAGATAATCATCTTAGTGGGCTTTCTCTAGGCTCCGATGTTACAGGGAAAAAACCCCCTTGTTTGGATGATCATTTTTCATTTTAAGGAGCGTACCATGTTGCTGGAACCCATGTCTCCCCTTTATCATGATAACATTGCTCCTCAAGCTGCTTCTTGGAATAAAGATTTTGAAATTATACTTGTGCTTCAGTTCAGTACACTAATAGAAATTGGCAAGGTTTTTTTTAATTCTTTTTAAGTTGCTTCTTAAAATTGGTTGTAAATGTTTCTCACAGCTTGCTTTTTTCCTGCTGAAGGAATTGCTGCAGTTTTGTAGAGGCGAGCAAGTGAACTTCACAAAATTTCATCAGATCTTATTTCTTATCGTAATACAAGACAGTGACTAAATAAAGTGACTCAAAGTGAGCTTTTATCTTGTTTTGAATTTTCCTGGTGTTTCCACCAGGAATGTTGTATGCTGTGTTGCCCTACCTCTGGGTACTCAGCCTCCCCTCTTTTTCTTTCCTGACTGAAGGATGCAGTGAAACTTGGCTTATAAAATTTTGTCTCCATGCATTTGGCTTAGTGTGTGTTTTCATCAGAGTTTGGGATGGAACAGGATTTGGATATGGTAACTTGTGTGTTATATGATTTCAACGTTCTGTTATTTAAATGCACTCATTAAAAGTATGCAAGAAAGGGAAGATGTCTTTATCAAAACACTTGTCTTTTAGGGTCTGGTGTTGGAGACTGAGAACAGATGATGAGTCTTGGGATGCAGTTCTTTTTATGCATTGATTTTTGAGGAGCAAATTTTGGAGGCAGAAAAAGAGGAGGAATGTGAAATTTAAACAGATTGCAGGCTCTCTTCAATTTAAAATAGGTAGGAAATTGAATTGCGGAGTTATGTGAAAGATGTAGAAATGTACTTGAAACAATTTTATCTTTTTAATTGATAAGGTTTCAGGTGTTACTTTTTTACAGCACAAGTTATAAAGTGCTTAGCAGTGAAGTGCCTGAGGACATACTTAAATTTTAAGTTGCTTTATTGGTTGAAGGAAAACATGGAGTCTAAATTCTACAATTTATGTATCAGAATCTAATTCATGGAGGGGATAGGGATAATAATGTGTTAATGCTGAAGCTTTTCAGACCCAGGGGAGAACAGAGGTCCAACTATGTGGCGCTTGCTTGCAGGATTTTGTATTTGAGGCTTTCAGTACCCCACGTTGTAACCTTGTATTAAAGCAAAGCAAGGTAGTAGTGGTGCAGAAACAGTGATCAGATCCTTGGCATGGTAAATAGCAAGGACTTGCTCAGCTCTTGTTATCCTACGAAAAGCAGAGAGGCAGCGTGACTGCATACGTAAAGAGATCATGCAGTGTATATATAAAATAATAGAACAAATGCAAACATTATAAATGGAGAAGTGTCAAAAAGATGAGGGAAGAGATAGTTTAAAAAGCTGCATACCATTCCCTGCTAGCAATATAATTAATTTTGTATGAAATAGCAATTGTCATTTTATATCGTGCATAAATTAAAAGCAGGGCTAAATCTGTTTCAAGAAGTGGCACTTCTCCACTATTGACGGCAGGTGGCATTGTACCATTAATGGATTTTGCTGTTGCACTTGCTGGCTCTAATTTGCTTAACTTCATCTAAGAACTGGAGACGGAAGATGCGGTTTATTTGTAATGATTTGCATATCAGGAATTGTACTCGCAAACTCAGAGTCGTGGTGTGTTACAGTGCTGTTAAATCTGTTGGTAAAGCTGGATAACTCTCTTTACTCCTGCATAGCTCTACTCAATAAAAAAAAAGTTCATGCTGAAACAACTACTCCAACAACAAAGCTATCTGCACATGCTTAAAAGTAGCGCCTGTGCTATACTTTGATTAATGGCCAAACTAAATCTTTGCTGTTCACCTATGATAAGTCAAATGTTGTTTCTCTAACCCACAAGGGAAATGATGGATTATAAATCATCCACTATAAACTCAACACCACTTCAAGTAAAACTGTGGGGGTTTTGGCCAAGAATAACGTATTTGCTTTTAAAGAAGAAATTAAGCACTTGTAACTGAGATTTTCTGCTGTGTTAATACGGTTAAGGTGACTAATGTGAGGTTTGTGTGGTGGTGGTTTTTTTTCTTTTTAACTTTCCTTCTCTTTATAGAAACTTTGTTTTCTGAATGTTTTAAAGTACCCTAAGCAGCTGATGTCTGAATACAAAGTTATTAGCAGATCAGATGAGAATGATTCACTTCTGTTTAAACAGCCCTTTGCTCTCCATGCCTCCTGAGAACTCTTATCACATATTTGTCCAAAAAACCCCACAAAAACCAACAAAAAAATCTCTCGCATTATCCACCTGCCTGGTGGCTGATAGTATCAGCAATGTATCTCTTTATCTCTTGGTTAATGTGCCTTGGTATTCTGAAGGGGGGAAAATTCCAGTAACAGATTCAATTTACACAGACAGAAACTTGAGCAAATGCCAGCCTAGCAGGGGGGCCATTATTCTGCTCTATAAATAAGTTTAAAAAAGAAACAAACACACACACAAACCTGTGAATCAACATGTTTTGGTCTAATTGAGGGAAAAGCAAGATAGATGAATTTTGAAATGCAAATGATCACCTTCTGTTATTTAAGTATCGGTTTTGCCAACTTTGTGATCTTAAATATAAAGAATTGTTACCTTGTAAATGGAGTAATAATTATATTCCATTCTTGGTAGTCATGATTTTTAAAATCAAATTGGTAACTTTTTAAAAAAAGCCCTTTCATAGTATGCTTAATACCTGTGAGAAAGACAAAACTGTCTACAGCCACAGCCTAGTCAAGACTGTCTTCAACTGAAATGGATTAAGTTGAGGATTTACCCAGAAAGAGAAATCTTTTAGGTACTTTTTCGCTATAACCTGTGAAGTGTCATGTTGTAGAAGAGGCTTGCTGGTCTAATGTCTGGTGTAAATATGATGTGTGAATGAGATGTT